TAAGCCGTCTCCAGCCATTATTAGTCTCAAAGTGGGTTCCTCGTCATCGAATATATAAGTATAGTAACTTTTCAGTTTCTTTTCTAGCCTTTCATATTACATCTATACCAATAAAACAGCCTGTGTGTTTGTGTGTCAGTCATTCAGCGCCAAAAGCCGAGACATCTGGAACTTTGCAAAGAGAATTCTGAGGGTGTACACTTGGGTATTATTTTTATTATACACAGACTTTTCTCTGTGTTAAAATACTTTTTTATTTGCAAGCTTTTGGCACTCTTACCGGTGCCTTCTTCGGGCAACAATGTACTGGGCGATAAAACTATCTAGGCAACAGTTCGTAACAATAACTGACATCTGGTATTAAAGTTATTAAATGCATAGAATTATGATGAATAAATATGAATATAATACTACTGTCTGTTATATGTCCTTGTAACAACTTCGCAGGGTGTGGATGGATCTTCACTTGGTGTGGAGGTTCAATAGATCCATGTGGGGGTACATACAGATGTTCAGTTTTGTGTTTTGCAGTTTTTTTGGGCGTTTTTGCGTTTTTTACCACTACCTCGTCTCCTCTGGATGGACTTTCACCAAATTTGGTATGGAGGTTCATTAGGTAGGTCCATGGGGAGATACATACAAATTTTCAGTTGTGCATTTATAATAAACATAGAAGAATACAATTATAAGTATTATGTAGAGCAAAAATAAAATAATTTTTCATACTTCAAAAATACATTGTCTAGTTAAAGGTTTAATTTCACATCGAAACAACACAGATAATGTGTTTGTGTAAGTTTCTGATTATTGTCTTTGATTTTAAATTACAAAATAAGTTGAGTAGTTTGACTAGCTGAGAGAGTGATTGATTATACCAATTAAATCGAGGGCCGAACAAGAGTTTAGGTTTTATTCTGTACAAAGTTTTTAAAAAACTTGTTGTTACAAAACTGTTATTGTTCTATATATTTTTCTAAAGAATAAACCACACATAAAAGTGTTAAATCCATATTATTGGCGGAAATGATTATATTTAAATATTTGTTCGTTTGTATCTAAAAAAACTATTTTCAAAATAGGTGTGAGGTTAAAGAATCTTATTATATAGTTATAATTTCAAATAAAGCCTTACATAGTCAAAAAAATTAGTTTTACATATCGATCACAAAATTTGTAGAAAAATGGCACTGTTGTATTTTTATCATTTAAGAGTTATTTCAGTGATTGTGTGTTTGAACAAACAAAATTTCTGATTTTCAAATTGATACAAAAAAAAAGTCGTTATTACCCGTACAGCGAAAAAACAAATTTGACTTAATGTAAAAAAAAAGGAGATTCCAATGATGCAAAACTTTCTTCAAGCTAAGTTTGTGTCTGTCTGTTCGCATCTTTCAGCCCCTATAATAGTAGGCCTATAAAAGATATGGATTATGCGTCATCATCATCATCACCATGTGCCGTCTTCCTGAGGAAGGTTGGCTGCCACAATCCTTCACTTCTGTGCTTTTCTCACCAGATTTTCATATTTTACTATCTCAATCCACTATTTAACGTTTGTTATCCACTCTGATTTTGGTCTTCCCGATATATTTTCCCTTCTATTTGATCCTCTGGTAGGACTCGCTTGATGTTGTCTCGTCTCACCACTAGGTGGTTGTTGTATCTTTTCACATTCACCATACTGGGAACTTCATTTGTTACCTTGTCTATCCAGGATAGATTAAGCCTACTCATGTTTAATGTCACATTTTTAGTGTCAATGAAAACTTCGAAATCTATTTTTTTTCCAAAAAAGACGGACCGGATTTTTGGTCTGATTTAAGTGGTAATAACGTCAGAAAGATGTCTGTGTATTTTATGGAAAGGTGTGCTGCCATAAAAATCCATCAAACGTTGTCGTGTTTACTGACAAGCAAGACTAACGTTTTTTATTGAAGACAAGTTGAACCCGCGAAATTCTGCAAAAATAAACAGGTTTTTATTCACTTTACTTTGAGAGGGGAGTTAGGCATGATAAACATTTTTGACGCTGATTATGTACCTCAGAGTAAAATGTGGAGAAAAAACAAACAAACAAATTCTGATTGCCAATCACAAGCAACAAAAGCGATAGACTGGGACTCGACAACAAACCAAAAATGTCGTTTTTCAGAATTATTTCAACGACTGTTAAGGGGGGTGGGGTAGGGTGAATTATACAATCAATCTATCATTTCGTTTGTTTTCTTTCATTTTTACGCTCTTAAGCCATTTATCTCACGGAAATATGATCATTTGACATGTATTGCTACATGAAAAGCGAAATTGTGATATTCTTCCTGTTTAAAAATAGCGTTGTAATGTGATGGTCTATCCTGCTTATCGTTGGTAAATAGTAGCCCAAGAGTTGGCGATGGGTGGTGTTGACTAGTTGCCTTATCTATAGTCTTACCTCTTCGAAATTATGGATGGCTCGCGCAGACAGCCCTCGAGTAGCTTTGTGCGAAATTCAACAAACAAAAGCTTAAGAACTTAAATTATCATGGAAACAGTAGCACTTGAATTGGAGATAGGATATTTAATATTGGTTAAGTATCTGGGCATCAAAACCCGTTTATTGACATAGAGTTCGAATTTTAAATTATTAATAGTTAAGAAGTTTTAACTAACTGTTCTTTCCTCTAGATATATATATATATGTATATAATTAAAAAGGAGTTTGTTTTATGGAAATTGCAGAGGGCGTCAGTGTACATCTTCATTATATTATGCTTGAACGTCTTTCCCAGTATTGAATCAATATCGTTACATACAACTAAAATGAACGAATGTATACCATTTTCAAAATGTAGTGACGGCCATTTGTCGCATTGAATAATGGTGAAATGTGGCAAGTTTTAAGAGCTGTATAGAAATCACATTTAAACTGAGATTATTGTGACAGGAAGTACTTAATATTTTTAATACTTGTTGTTTGGTCCTTTGAAATATACGAAAAAATTTTAAAACAATGGGAGGGTAGACAGATATTAGAAACACATGAAGTACAAAAAAAAGTAAAAAAAAATAGGCCAAAATGCAACTTCCTGTAAAAATCTTTTTAAAAAATACTTTCAGTATGAAACATGAAATAATGTCATTCTGTACACTCTTTAGCATGAAGGAAATTTTTCTGTAATTTTCAAAGAATCAGATATAAAAATATGATTCTTTAACATTATCATTTTTGTTCAGTTTTATGTAGTTTATAATAATACCACATATTTTGTTAAAAAAGTCTGTGTTAATGTATGAATCTCTTATGTGATATTATACACAACACGTGGTCAGTCTTTCAGCAGTGCAATTACATAACAAATGTGTGTGCCTGAGAGAGATTGATGATCATAGTCACCTTCTCTTAGGTTTAACTCAGATTAATACTCAAATTAACGAGTTTACAATCTAGTGAAACCTTCAAAGATAAAGTATATCCTAAAGTATTGTTTTTGAGAAATTCATAAAGAATGTGCATTGAAATAAACTGATAAAATATAAATTAATACACACTTTAAAATTCTGTTAACATTGTAAAGCTGTAATGGAGAATCTGTTTAAAAATTTTAAATTTATTTAGCAGTTAAACAAAATTAGAGATAGCCATAATATACAGAAAAGATAGCTGGTTTGACTTTGAAAATAGCCTACAGATTTGTTTTCAAAAGGCAATGGGAAAGCTGATCGTTCTTTGTGAAGATAGGCCTATGATAGTGGTATTCATTTTATGTTATTCATATTTGTAAAATGTTTTTTTTTTCATGAACGAAAACGTATAGGTATAATGTAGGTGAAAAGTCTTTGCTCATTTGACCATTTATTTTCCATTACATTTAATGATTTAATATACATCTTTTAGTATTTGTTTATTAAAGGAATAATAGCATAGTCTGGTCATATTCTTCAACAAGTTTCTAGTTATTATCAATTATGAAGTTAGCAAATTTTTTGTCTGTTTACCTTTTTCTTTCCATAAGTTTTTAGCAACATTCTCTCTTCTTATATTTTAGTTTTCATCAAAATAATTAATTAAGTATTTTAACATAGTGACCTGGTACTTCACACTCAAGTTTGATGACAAACCAGTCTGTGTGATGTTTTATATAAGTTGTATTTTAACATAGTGACCTGGTACTTCACACTTAAGTTTGATGACAAGCCAATCTGTGTGATGTTTTATATAAGTAGTATTTTAACATGGTGATTTGGTACTTCACACTTGAGAGGTTGATGACAAGCCAGTCTGTGTGATGTTTTATATAAGTTGTATTTTAACACAATGGTTAGGTACTTCACACTTGAGAGGTTGATGACAAGCCAGTCTGTATAATGTTTTATATAAGTTGTATTTTAACATGGTGATCTGATACTTTACACTTGAAAGTGATTTTTTTATAATAATTAAGGTTTTTCTTTTGTATTAACATTATTGATACATATTCACAAATTATACAAATGAGCTTAAGTCAATGGAAGAATATAAATAACTTGGAAAATTTGTTTTTTATAAGAAATAGTTTTTGTAACCTCTCTGTGTTTTACACAATCAAAAAATACAGAATGTTTTTTAAAAAAACTTTTCAAGTGTTATTTAAGAGAAACAGATAAGATTATTATTTTCTACTTGAATCATTCATTATAATTTTCTTTTGTAAAACAGGAGCGACTTAACAAAAGTGAGAGACAGAGGTTTAGAGAAGAAGCTGAAATGTTAAAAGGACTACAGCATCCCAATATTGTTCGTTTTTATGATTACTGGGAAGTGAGTCTCCCAAAGAAAAAGTATCTAGTATTAATTACCGAACTGATGACATCAGGAACTCTAAAAACGTAAGCTGTGTTTTTGTGCTTAGAACTGCATAACCAAAATTTTGAGTAAAGAACTTTTCATTGGAAAATAAAATAAGATATTCAAAAGATAATGGTTTGGTGATTAAATTTATACTCTTATAGTTCAGGTATTTTGAGGTTATAGTATAGGTCTACTGTTGCTGTAATTCAACGAACTGTTTAACGGAAAAAATAAGGAAATGGTCGAATCAGATATTTTTGAATGGGTTGATTAGACAGTTTATGTAATATATTAGTTTTTGTATGTCTTTTTAAATATTATTAACTTGTGCTCAGAGCAAGCTACCTACTTCTTACATTCTCTCTTATAAAGGTCAGAATGTATTGATTGTTTCGTCAGTTGGATACACTTGCTGTTAACAATATTTTATTACGGTAATTCTGATATCCCACAAGGTTTGGCCAAGCTTAGGAAATTTACGTTATCCCTAAATATATATATGTTAAGCTAACATTGGAAAACGATCTTTATAATGAAAGTATGATAATAAAAAAAGTAATAAAATGATATACATTAAACATTCTAGCCAATACTGTTAATTAAAGTAACAATAAAGAAATAATACAGTACACCTTATTTATGGAAGACACAAAGATCAGCTCTTGGCTTCAAGCACTTCATTTAATATTTATAAATCAAACAGAAGTTTCATCATTTACAAGTCTAAATGAATGCCCTGAAAGCTCTATTACTTTGAAAAGGTGGTCTTCTCCTTGTGAGCTGTGAAGCTATATTTCGCTAACACAGACTCTGGGGTTTTAAGAATGCTGTTGTTGACTCAGTAAACAATTTACTGCAGAAATGAAAACAACGAGTTTCAGGAAGGGTGATATATAAATGTGCCACGAACAAATATTGTCATTGTTTAGTGAAACCTATTACAGGAAAATCATGTAGTCTGTCAGATTTTTATACATGTTTTACTTTGGTAAATGTACATTGTTTAGTGAAACCTATTACAGGAAAATCATGTAGTCTGTCAGATTTTTATACATGTTTTACTTTGGTAAATGTACATTGTTTAGTGAAACCTATTACAGGAAAATCGTGTAGTCTGTCAGATATTTATGTGTGTTTTACTTTGATAAATGTACTTTTATAATTTTTAGGTATTTGCGTCGATTTAAAAAGATCAACTTAAAAGTCCTGAAGTCATGGTGTAAACAGATCTTGAAAGGTTTGAATTTTCTTCACTCTCGTTCACCTCCCATCATCCACCGTGATCTAAAATGTGATAACATATTTATCACCGGGACAACTGGATCAGTAAAAATTGGAGACTTGGGACTTGCCACACTGAAAAATAGATCATTTGCGAAAAGTGTTATAGGTAGGTAGCACAGAATGGAATACCAAGAAAATAATTAACCCCCTTTTATTAGATCAAAGTTAGTTTAGTGGAAAATGTGGTGTTTGGAAATAAATCCAGAATGTGTAAAGGAAATAAAATTATTGCCATAATTATATTAATTTGAATATAAATCAGCCGAGCGGCTTGGCAAAAGTGGTTTGGGAATGTTAGAATAAATTTCAGGTTATTTTTGATGAGACACGACTGATGGATCTCAGTGGAAGTCATGGGAGGGAAGAGAATTTTTAGCTGAGTAAATTTTAAATTATATATCAGTAATCATCCCTGTTTTAAGCAATTGACAGAATGTTGTAATAACCACAACAGGCACTCCAGAATTCATGGCACCTGAAATGTATGAAGAACACTATGATGAATCAGTAGACGTGTATGCCTTTGGAATGTGTATGCTGGAGATGGCTACCTCTGAGTATCCATATTCTGAGTGCAGCGGGCCTGCCCAGATTTATAAGAGGGTTACCAGCGTAAGTCGTGGTTTCTTACATTTCGTAGCCTAAGGTGAGCTAAGATTTGCTTTAAGTTTGGAATGTGTAGAGTGAATTTAAGTACTTCTATATTGTATTTAGGGTATTCCACCTCAAAGTTTTGGAAAGGTTGAAAATCATGAACTGAGAGAAATCATTGGTTGCTGTATTCAACTCTCAAAAGAAGAAAGGTGAGATAACATACTTTATAAAGCCTCCAGCAGGAACAATAACTGATAGTGTATCTTTATTTGTGTAGGTGGAGTGGTCATAGCATGCTTTAATCTGGATCTTAAAAGATGTTATTAAAATTGGTTCAGTTAGTTAATTTTCAGTCATAAAATCATCGTCTGTTCTCACCATAATTGAATCACAGGCCTAATTCATATTGCAATTAACAAATTTTATATATATATCTACTTAAGATCTTTTTGTATGTGCACATTTTAAATGTGAGATGATTTTCTAAAATTAACATGGAATTGACATTTAAAGTTCCATTACTGAATGTCCAAATAATGACTTGAGAGCCATGCATCTCTCTGGACATTGAAGTCTTCAAATCAAGTGCCATTTGCGAAGTAGATAATTGTTTCCTAGTGACTGATATCATCAGAACAACATTCTTGATTCCCTAGTAATTTTAATGAACATTTTATTACAGCCCTATCTGATCAGATCTTTTTATTAACATATTTGATTAAATGCATACATTTAGTGTTGATTATAAAAGATTATGTTTCAAAGGCATTGTAGGAGCTGATTATTAAGATATATTGAAATAGAGGTAGCCATTACACAAAATTAATCCATCAGACATGCTTATGTGTAAGTCATCTACCTTCTGCAGTTAAGATAACCAGTTTGTATTGTCTGGCTAAAAAAAAGGTTACGGTTGTTTGTTGGATAACCACGATAATTGGCCAGCAAGAGGAGATATTGCTCGACAATTGTTTTTCAGTGCAAAATTGCTTGAACATATTATTCTGTGTGTTGTCCTATATTTGTTTCTTTAAAACAATTTTTGTAATGAAATACGAACAACACAAACTTTTTTCATGTGAGGCTTAAATATAAGAGTTTCATATTAACACAAGTACATGTGGTTGAGCTTACAAATGTACCTAAATATATGATGTGCCTTAGGCCTAAGAATTTACTACATGTGTATGTGTTTATATAATATTGCCTTTTATTTCTAGTAGTCTGTAAGTTTGTAAATTTCATTCAATTAGTTCATTATTTCTTAATTTAAAATTGTAGTAAAACAATGAAATTATTTATAAAGATTTAAAGGAACTTCAATAATATATACAGATAATTGTCATTTTAACGTTAAATACCACCATTAATGTTTAAGTAACTGATATTCATGGGAGGGCATGAACAATAATGCAATCAGTGATGGTTTTAATCTCTCACAGTGTAGGCCTGTAAAACTTAAATAATCTCCAAATTCAAACTATCTAATATTTTTGTAAAATAGTGCAATATTTCAGTGATAATATAAGTTACTTTATTGGAATGCATGAACTATATTATATCATATGGCATTTCAAATATGGTGTCATAAAATCTGCAACTGAAAGCAAGGTATTAAGAGTATTATTTACTTCACGCTTTTAGTTTCAAGAGTTGAGCCTCTGCTATGTTTGACCAACTTTAATATAATTGAAAAGAAACTATTTAATGATCTGTAACTTGAGTTCGTATCCACGAGCTTAGCATCATAATTAACTCAGTCACCCTAAATACCATGTAATGGTAGAAACCAAACGCTTTTATACTTAGGCTAAAGTTATTCACAGTTCCTGTACTCTAAAGTTTCAATATAATTATCAAGGTATTTAAAATGTATTTAGTTAAATTTTACAAACCTTTTCTTTACAAAGTATTTAATGCATCATTCTCGTATGTGAGTTTATCAAACAAATACTGAAATTCTTAAAACTTTGTGTGCATTTGCCAGGTAGGGTTAGTTCACGTGGCAAACCATTATTTCAGAAACTGCTTCTGTTTAGATTTTGTTCAACTTAAAGATGAACAAGAATGTCTTAATTTCATGCCATTAACTGATAGTGGGAACACACATTGAATCTTAGTGAGCAGTTTTGTTTTCTTTCCTGTTAGAACACTCATGGTCAAAAACTGACTAAAACAAATAGGGTGAAATCACTCATTGCCTAACTAAGATACACAGGAAACCGTGGCAGTAATTAGTGGGATTAATTGTAATGTTGATGATATTTTTATATATATTTTGTTGTTTGTGATTCCTATGTTATTAGGGTTTTTGGAACTGAGAAAAGTTTGAAAACGCAAGTGATCTGGTGCATTAATAATGTAGAAATATACTTTTAAGAATCTGATGGGATACGTGAATATGTATTTGCAATTCTAGGGTTAACTTGCCAGTTTCTTTTTTAAACTACATCATATGGTAGACTGTAGGTAAGTAAACACAATGAATAATGACAATAGAAAATAATAAACATAGAATTCCTTTAACCCTATCTCAATGGGTCATGGGTCAAAGGCCATGTCATCGCGTTTGTTGACTCGCATTCAAAATTTTATTGAACTACTATTTTATGAATCTGTGTCAAAAAGTTTGG